AACATTCCAATTTGAATTACTTCTACATAAAGTAATGCAACGTTGCATTTCATCAGTCTGCCAATTCTCGAAAAGAAAATTTTCAGAACATTGCAATTTGAATATCTTGTACATAGAAAGATGCAACGTTGCTTTTAACCAGCCAGTTCTCGGAAAGAAAGATTTTTAGAACATTGCAATTTGAATATCATAAACTTTTCATGAGCAAAAACGCTTTCTTAGTAAACCTCTCGCAATGATTTACATCCCCGTTTTATATCTCAGTCCATGATAAAAATAAAGTTTTCTCCAAATATTTCGTATGACTTTAGGGCCTTCTTAAGTTTCCCGTTTTAAAGACACAACCAAGAGATAGTTTATATGGGAAACTCAGTTTATTCATTTATTCTCTCCTTCATTGTGGCAAAAGAAGTAGTTGAGTAAGTTACGGAATTTTTAGTTTACAAAAACATTACGAAGGGATTGTCATTACTTGACTAAGCTATGAAACAGGTTTAGACTTCAGACTAAGTGTTTAATCAGCTAAAATCTATAGTATTTTAGTCTTTCTTGGTTGCAAAGATCATTTATTGCTCTCCTCCTTTGCTGCCTTTTCATTCCTTTCAGCTGCAGCTTTCATTCTCTCCACTTGACCGTCATTCTCTTTGTGAGCCTTTTCAACCCTTGCAACATCTTCTTTTGTCGTAAGATTCTTTTTTCCTTGCTTTTCGCTGTCACCCATTTTGATAGAAAAACTAAAACAAAGCAGTTTCAATTGAGATGAGTTTATATTTTCTAGCCTCCGAAAAAAAGTGCGCATGCTATGGTATAATTACCGAGGAAAGAGAAACCAAAAAAAGCCCTTCACAACATTTGGATGCGTATATTATTGATTTTCACTTGCTTTGGAACCCAATCGGAGTCCGACAAACTTGAAGCCGAACTCATGCATAAGATGAAAAACTCATAAACACATGCCAAGAAAAACTGTCTGGGCTTCTCGGGTTTTTCCCAATTCTGACGCGCTTCTGACTCCGACTACGACACCGTTTTCTGCCGATTTGAACGCAGTTTGTCATGAGCTGCTTGGAAGTCTAATTCTTGAGATCAAATCTTATAGTCTTTAACCTCAACTCAGTCAATGCGTCACACTTTATCCAACGGTAAAACAACAAAAAATGCAGTAAAGTTTAAAAGAGTTCTATTTCACTTGCAATATGTACCTGAGTTTGTAGCTAGTTCTCTTGGTGATTGTCGACAGATTCGGCTAGTGCAGAACTGGTGACTGAATCGATGGACAAAAGTCCTAAATATATAAGGATCAATCTTCAAGGGAAATCACCTTGTTTATCTCATAGGGAAAACAGGTAAAACAGGTTTAGCAGTCGACCAATAGTGACAACCTTCGTGAAAAAAATCCCCTAGTCTGTAAACACATTATGTCTATGCAAAGATGTACATGATTGGCCGGTTAAAGTGTCGTATGATTCTTGTCAGTCGCACGCGGTAATGGGTCATACTAAGGATATAAAGATTCGGGGAAAGACCCCAATCGATATGCACGATATGTTGTTTGCATCACAGAAAAATTGTTACAAAGATTCAGGAATTAAAATCCCCCAATTTGATATGCATGATAAATTGTTAGTGCCACTACGCAGATGTTTCGTGATAGACTTACGACCAGATATTTTAGAATCCATAAAAAAGAATAAAAACTTGGATTCAAAAAGCCAAGAAATTACTGAGTAACTACTTTTTTCAAACGACTTTAAAAAATTTTTTAATTTCAATCGCAATTAGGGAAACTGAAAATAACTGTTATTAGCCATTTCCACCAAATTTGCGATTTTTGGGGCACTCCATATTTGGTCAATTTTGAAGCCAAGTGTTTTATTCTTTTTTATGGATTCTAAAATATCTGGTCGTAAGTCTATCACGAAACATCTGCGTATTGGCACTAACAATTTATCATGCATATCAAATTGGGGGATTTTAATTCCTGAATCTTTGTATCAATTTTTCTGTGATGCAAACAACATATTATGCATATCGAATTGGGGTCTTTCCCCAATCCATTACCGCGTGCGACTGACAAGAATCATACGACACTTCAACCGGCCAATCATGTACATCTTTGCATAGACATAATGTGTTTACAGACTAGGGGATTTTTTCACGAAGGTTGTTATTGGTCATCCGTACCTGTTTTACCTGTTTTCCCTATGAGATAAACAAGGTAATTCCCCTTGAAGATTGACCCTTATATATTTAGCACTTTCGACCATCGATCACCATTGGCTCTGCACTAGCCGAATCTGTCGACAAGCTACAAATCCAGGTACATATTTATGTTTCATATATCTTTAGATTCTATATTTAATAGACCGTCTCTACATATTGCAAGTGAAATAGAACTCTTTTGAACTCACTTTACTGCTATATTATCTGTTTACCGTTAGATAAAGTGTGACTGAGTCCATTGAAAGAGATTTGAACTGAAAATTACGACCGCTTCCGAAAAAGCTTCATTGAGGAAGTATATATTATCAGAAAAAGGTGTGGTATTGTGCTGTTATGTGATGTTATGACGCCTGACGAGCGGTTTTCACTGTCAAGTTTATGGGTGAACTTTTTTCAGCTTTTAAAGAAGTGCGCCCCAAGTATATTAGCAAATGTCATAATGAAGGGATTTTTTTTCGTTTCTCTTTCCTAATGATACATAATCAGGATTCTTCTTCGTTGCTTAAAATTCGGAAAGAACTACTCGCGAATCACTTAACTTGAGATGAGAATGACAAACGACGAGGCCCCAAAGTTGGCGCCAAGACCAACTCATTTGTCAATGAAACCAAAATGATGGCGGACCAAGAATACAGCTATGTTTACTTTGTTCTATAAACGAATCATATGCAAACCTTTGTTTTGTTTTAGTTTTCTATCAAAATGGGTGACAGCGAAAAGCAAGGAAAAAAGAATCTTACGACAAAAGATGATGTTGCAAGGATCCAGAAGGCCCAAAAGGATCCGGGACATACCGAGAAAGGCAGCTATGTGAGCAGAATGCAATCTGCAGCTGATAAGAGGGAGAACGCGGGGTCCGACGACAAGAAATGACCTTTGCAACCAAGAAAGAAAAAGTCTAGATTTTAATTGTTCTACTAAACACTGCTGTCTAAAGTCTGTTATACCTGTTATAACTTAGTTATGATAATTTGATTAGAGTGCTTTTAGTCTCACTGTTGAATAGTTAGATAATTTTTTATAAAATAATTGGGATACTACGCGCGCTATGATTGGTCGAAAACCATGTTTGATGAGAGTATCAAAACACGCTACCGTAATTTTTTATCTATCGCGCGCGCTCATTGGCCAGTTTGAATAAGACGGCACGTAGGGAGAATTTACTTAGACTTTGCTTTTTTTCGATCTTTTCGCGCGTTTGTTATTTTATAAAACAAATCAAAAACAGTTTTCTGTGTTTGATACTCTGATCAAAACACTTGGGATGTTGGGAGAACACTCGAGAAGCTGGACACCACTCCGCTACGCGTCATGGTTTCCTATGCTCCTCTCGTGTTCTCTCAACATCCAGCGTGTTTTGATCAGAGTGTCAAACACGGAAAACTGTTTTTGATCTGTTAAATCTAACTTAGATAACTATTTAGTTGACGTCACCTAAAATAGTAAAAGCGCGCCAAATAACGGTCATGCTAATCCGGGGGGTTGTTTTACCAGAAAATGAGTGAATAGACATTCATTTGTATCATCGTTTCTCCCCCTGATCTCAGTAGCTGTTTACTCGTAGTTTCAAATTTAGTTGACGTCACCTATTCAACAGTGAGACTAAAAGCACTCTATACGATTATAAGTTTGTAAAATATACATCGAATTTTTAAGTCAAGACTCATACAGAGAATGATAAATAAATTGATGTGGAAATAAACCGGCAGTTTTTTTTGAAAACGATTGGTTAATCATGTTGTCGTGTCTTTAAAACGAGGATTTAAAACCCTAAGAATCATATATTTCTATCTTAGGGGRAAAAAAAACAGTATTCATCTTATGATAATGCAACGGCTATTTCTCATTAGAATTTTAATGTAACTGCAAATTTTTCTTTCTATTCCGAGAATTGCAGAAATAGACCATTTCACAGATATCCCGCGGCTCAACCTCAGCCTCGTCAGCGTGTAATATATTTAGAAATTGCCTACAACCTGTGAAATTTTTAAGTGTTTCGATTGTTCCCCCCTCCCCCTCCCCCCGCCGAAAGCATTATTAAATGAAATGATTGCAGACTTGACAGAAACTAATGGAAGAAGGTGCTGAGGAATTGTTCAGAAACCGGAAAAGAATTTGTTACACTGAGGAGAAAAAATATATAAGCTATGGTATATTTTCTATATGATTTTCTAATTGAAAAAGAAAATCGAAAAAAGAAACAAAAGCTTGAGTAGTCGTAAAGTTTAGGTCACCCATCCAGGTACTAACTTCGCCCAACCGGGCTTGACTCAGTGTCTTGGAAGACCATTTTTTCCCCACTGGACCACGGTTCCAGGTGAATCAAAATAACAATAGCCGTGAAAACAATACACCGAATAGTCTAGACTTTTTAGCATCAATTTTTCAACCGATTCCGTGCGTGGCAGAGATGCAAGGGATTAGCCGATATGGTCTGGGGGCCGGCTGGTCTCTCCCCTGATGCTTCGGC